CCTTTCACCCATTGGGTCCCTAGTTTTCAGTCAGATTCTTGATTTCCATATCATGATTAGATCTAGGGTTTTTAGAACTTCATCAGAACTTTATGAATTAATTAGTTTTATGTTCCAAATCAGATTATCATATTATTACTCAGATTATCGCATGAATTTCAGAACCCTAGCTTTGTATTTCTTTAGTTCTTGGATTACACATGCTAAATCAGATATTTGAGATACTTCAGATATACATGCTTTAGTCATAAATGCATAATTAGCAGATTAATTGTTGCATTCTCAGTTTGCATGTTTACTTTCGAGCTATCCAGTATTTACAGAAATTTAGATATAATCAGTTAATTTACAGTATCCATGGGAGTAGCATAATATTGAGTTGGACTAGGGTTCAGCGTACCCAAATAGTCCCAGAACTACTAGCCAAGTAGGTTGTAAGTCCCCTCTATGGGCAATTAGTTTAGTGATCACGCCAATATGCCTTTATACCTTTGGAAGGGTATATTGGATCCTCTCAATGGGGCGTATACATCGGACTCCACATTTATCTCATGTGGTTTTATTGTCGATTATTAGTAACTCCACAGATCTTTCAGACTCTATGCATTGACCATTTATCAGTATATTCAGTATTGAGTTTCAACATGTTTCAGTTTATCATGTCAGATTATTATACTTGCAATTATGCTTGTTCAGTTATGTTTTATGTTAGCTTTACTCTATCCTACATGCTCAGTACCTTTCAAGTATTGACGCATACATGCGCTACATTTTCTCGTGATGTAGGTTCAGGTTTTTAGCATCCAGATCACGCATAGATCGATTTCCGATATCCAGTTTAGCAAATTCAGTGATGAGTCCTCATTCTCGAGGACATCAGTCATGAGTTTATTTCAGTGTTTAGTTATTTAGTGTTAGTTTTTGCTAGATTTAGCTGGGGCTTGTCCCGGTATTTCTAGTCAAGTTTAGAGGTTATTTCGCACATAGTTAGATTCAACTTAGTATTGAGTTAATATTTTCTTTGTATTAAACTCATTGTTTTCAAATATCTCAATTATAGAATATGGATATTCCCCATCTTTTCAGATTTAATTATGATTTAGCTTCCACATCAGTTTATTATCTTTAGTATGCTCAGGATTATGTCATCAAGGTTAGCTTAGGATCACTTGTGGTTCTAAGTTCCATGTCCGCGTCTCCAGAGTAGATCAGAGCGTTACATCACATATTAGACTGACGTCATCCAACTAGTTCAATAGTTGTCCAAGGTACTGATCTGAATGAAATTGAATTAAGAATGTGATATGTAGTTATTAGAACCTATCCCAAAAGAAACAAAATAACTAATAATAAGTCAATAATTAATCTTATTATCTTCATAAGAGTCTACTTATTTTCTTTTCTACACAAACTATTGTTTTGTATCTGGTGTAGATAATTGAAATGCCATTATTCTATAAGATAAGTGATTCATGAGCTCTACAAAGAGGTTTATGTTACTACAATCCAATTACAGTGATTTTATATATATTTTTCATGATGCTCTATATTAGTTTAAAATATCTTGATCAGTTTATCAAGATATTTAGACTGCCAAAACATCAAAATAAAATATATTCATTTCATGAGTAACAGTTTGTGGAAATATTAGAATACTCAAAGTCACCTCTTGCCCGAATGTTCATTTACATCACAAATCAAGATAGAATAATTCTAACTTATCACTACCACCTTTTTCTTTTTTTATGAGGAAAAGTCTCTTAGTTATTTTTCCTTCTGAATAGAACTCACATGTTGGAAGTGACTCATTTTCAATGAACCGTTATGTCCATCCATTAACCAACCTCGAAGTTCTTTCGAAATATATAACTTAGATGTTAGTGTACAATAAGTATCATTCAATTTGAAAGATACTTTCTCTTATGAGATAGATTAATAAAATTCAATTCATGTGAGATAATATTAATAAAAAAATCACGCAACTACATACCACTATAAATGAAATATTTATCAAACTCAATTATAGGAGAGTTCCAAGCAAATATATCAAATAATCATCTCTTATCTAGTTAGAAACTAAAAATAATTCCTTCTGAAACAAGGTATATGTACAATGCATTTTTTGAATTAACATTTTCTCCCTATCAAAAGAAAAGCTTAAGTACTACTAAGTGGGTGCGTAAAGTCTATTGAGGATGTGAGACATAATACATTAAATAGATATGATATTTTGAATAATCCTGAATAAGGATATTCAAGGCTCATTTATACATATATATCCATGCATCTCGAATAGTCAATCGATGGGATTAGAGAACTACTCATGCAACACACATGTACAATGACCGATTATTCACTCCATAAACTCATATAGACCTAACTCAGATGGAGAGTCTATTTTTAGTTTAAGTCAAGTGAAAATTCTCTAGTTACATTGATCTAATATTATATTACTCTATTTTGGAGAGTTAATATAGATTATCAAAACTAGACGATTTAATACATAGTGACTTGTATCAATTTCATCCGATGGGGAGGAAGGTTTAAGCTAAAACATAAAACTAATACTTCACTACTATTTAATCAAATATGACCAAAAACTCATATGACCATCCAACAAAAATAATCTCTTACTAGGTCATTCTTATGAATCTACAAAAATTTCAGATCAATCAAATTTTTTTTCGAATTCCAAAAAGTATGATCAATTTAGTTGAAAGCATTGTCTGGACATAATAGAATTTATATTTCCCCCTCAGTATTTCTTATCATATATCATCATTTTATGAAATAGATACACGAATTAAGAATAAAGAACAAAATTTTAAAATTCCAAAAGAAAGCATGTTGATGTATCTAACACCCCGAATCCTAAATAAACAAAAAATAAGCTTTTTAGAAATCTATAGGTGCAATCGACGGTTACCATCACGAGCCGTAGTCTGACCCACGGCCCATAATGCACATCTGTTGTTTGTGATTGAAACTTTCCCATGATGCAGCCCAGAAAAATTGACTAAGTGTCGATTCACGAACACACCTACGGTCCGTAAGTAAGACTACAGTCTGTAGTCTGTGTCCGTTGATCAAGACCCTGTTTACCCACTCTCTGACAAGAATCACGATTGACCAATAGGTAAAATTAGCAGACAATTAGGGGGATATGCTACTGTGTCAACTTCAATTGATCATAACTCTTAGCACAAAATGAATTAGGTGTCCCATAACCTACGAAATGATATATAATTGAATTACATTCCATAGCCGCCGAGTTTGGTAAAATCAGACCTCCAAGTAAGAAGTTATGTATGTTTTAGTAAAGCTATGTCGAACAGGCCTAACCTACGGACCCAAACGAGGGACAGTAGATTGAACGACGGCCCGTCAGTCCAAGTCGTCGTTTGGTCAAACAACAATTAACTCAGCGATCTTTTGGTATTTTCTCACTTTGTTTAAATCCTAAGATACTTCGTTTTGACCCTAAATCATCAGATTTTAGTTTGTTTAAGCCTAGAAATATAAATAAAACTTACCTCAGTCAAAATCATAAATCAAAACCTATAAAATTAGAAGCAAGAAAGGAGAAAAAGGTCAAGAACCCTAGTTCAAGAATGCAGCAAGGTTCCAGCAGTTCCTGTCCCAAAATTTAAATATTTTTCCGTGAATTTCATCACAAGGTATATGGGATATCACTAGTAGGTTCCTTTCACCCATTGGGTCCCTAGTTTTCTGTCAGTTCTTGATTCCCATATCATGATTAGACCTAAGTTTTCTAGAACTTCAACAGAACTTCATGAATTAATTAGTTATACGTTCCAAATCAGATTTCCATGTTATTACTTAGATTATTACATGAATTTCAGAACCCTAGCTATTTATTTCTTTAGTTCTTGAAAAACACATGCTAGGTCAGACATTTCAGTTACTTTAGATATACATGCCTCAGTTATAAATGCATAGTTACCAGATTAATTGTTGCATTCTCAATTTGCATGTTCAATTTTGAGCTATCCAGTATTTACAGAAACTTAGTCATAATAAGTTAGTTACATAATTCATTGTGAGTAGCACAATATTGAGTTTGACTAGGGTTCAGTGTACCCAATTAGTCCCAGAACTACTAGCCAAGTAGATTGTAAGTCCCCTCTGTGGGCATCGGTTTAGTGATCACGCCAGCATGCTTTAATACCTCTAGCAGGGTAAAATGAGTCCTCTCGATGGGGCATATACATCGGACTCCACATTTAGCTCATGTCGTTTTATTATCGGTTATTAGTAGCTCCCACAGTTCAGTCAGACTCTAATGCACTGACTATATTTACAGTTCAGTTATTATTCATTCTCAGCATGTTATAAATTTGGTCATTGCATCCAGTTCGCTCAGAATTCAATATATCATGTTCATATTATTATACTTATTTTGGTTCTTGTTCAGTTATGTTTTGTTTTAGCTTTACTCTATCCTACACGTTCAGTACCTTCAAGTATTGAAGCATACGTGAGCTACATGTTCTCGTGCTGTAGGTTCAAGTTCTCAGCATCCACATCACGCTTTGATCGATTCACGATCTCCAGTTCAGCAGGATCAGTGGTGAGTCCTCATTCCCTGAGGACAATAGTCATGAGTTCATTTCAGTCTTTTAGTGATTTAGTTTCAGTTTTGCTAGACTTTTTGTCCCAACGTTTCTAGTCAGTTAGAGGCTTATTTCAGACATAGTTAGTTTCAGCTTAGTGTTGAGTTAATAGTTCCGTTGTATTAAACTCGTCGGTATTTCAAATATCTCAGTTTTAGCATATGGGTATTCCTCATCCTTTATTTCAAATTATGATTTAGCTTCCGCGTCAGTTTTTATTCTTTAGTATACTCATAATCATGCCAACAAGGTTGGCTTGGGATCACTTGTGGTCCTAGGTCCCGTGTCCGCGTCTCGGTGGTAGCTCGGGGTGTGACAATATATACGGTAAATATTAAAATTCAACATACGCCTTATAAATATAAATGCATCTTGAACAATAAATTTTAATGAAAAAATGACTACTCACGCAACATACATATATGGTGTCAAATATTCACTTCAACAAATTTAAAACAAAAGCTAACTCAAATGGAGAGCATTTGTAAATTTAAGTCGAACGAATATCATTATCCCTGCATCCATTGATCCAATCAAATACTCAGTTTAGTAGAGTCAATACAGATAATCAAAACTAGAGATTAAACTTTAATGACTTGTATTGATTTCATCCGTTATGGAGGAAGGTCTAAGAAACCACATGAACTTAATACTTCACTAAAATTTAGTCATCAAGACCATAAAGAACAAACTCTATTACCGCTATATCATAGTCGAGTAACTTTTCGGTAAAATTAATTTATCAAGATATAAAAATTATCTAATAACATCATCTGAACGATCTCAAATTACCAAATCACTGCATAACAATGAGTATTTTAAAGTTGATCGTTTCTGATGAACCTACCAAATTAATGATCAATTGGAGTTCAAAATTAATATTTATCTCCAAATCTCTTGACCAAATTCAGATTCAAACGATTTAGGGGGAAATGAATAGATCAACATCCTTACCACGTATAACATAAATAAAACTAATATAAAGGATGTCATTTAAAACTAAATCACATTTTAATTCCAAAAAACAACTTTAAAATTATTTCAACGACCTCAAAAAAATATAACCACATAGCAATGAGTACTTCTTACTAGCCTGTTATTAATGAACTTACCAAATTTCAGGTCAATTGGAATCTGTGAAGAATCTTTATTTCCAAAGTTATAACCAAATTCAAACTCAAGTTATTTAAGCATCTTTAGGAATTAAAACAACATTCATACATTCTTATCACATATCAATTTTCGTCAAATAACTATGTGCAATTATTTTTCAAATTTAACATAAGCATAATTGATATAAAGAATGGTCTTATCATATTCAAATCAAATTTTAATCCAACAAATTTACCTAAAACCATCTAAACAATTTTCGTTTAAACCATCAAATTTCAAGTCAATCAGATATCACAAAATTCATGACCATCTTAACTATGATAAAATTTGAAAAATTAATCGTTTGAAGCATAGTTAGAGATTAATATAACTCGATTTACATTTTTGTTCTCTTTTAATAATTATCTAATGAGCATTAGGAATATTGTGTGCCTTTTCTTTGACTAAGACATACAACATCTTCTTATATCAAATTGTTCTCTCAATTCATACACTTGAGAATTCAAAATATTACGTTTTCTCCCTTTTAAACCGGTGAAAACCTTTAATATCTCTTCTCATGAATAAGTAAGTGTTACTAGTATCTAAAAAACGAATCTTGATTTAAGTAAATAAATATTCATCACTAGTATTCACTTAGGAGTTAGAACAATTTATATATGATACATTGAGAATGTTCTAATGACTCTAATAAATAGATCAGTTTCGTGAATCCTATTTAGCTCAATTTATATGTTAATTATTTCTACATGTATAAAAAAGAATATTTTATAAGAATTTTACAATGATTTTAAATAAATAGATTCATTAACAACACTTTTACTAATCATTATTAATTCTTAACTACTATTATTTATATTATACAAAGAGAAACAAAACAATGCTCATATAATTAAATAATCAAGAGAATAATGTCAAAAACACAAAAAACAAATAAACAATAAATAAAAAAATAAACAAAAAGAGATCTTAGGTTTAGGTGGGTGTATATTGTGGATTAAAAACCACTTTTCTGGCACTGTTTGCCGCCACTCTAGTCCTCTCTTCATTTTTAAAATAAATATTTTATTCAATATTAGCATTGTTAATGCCAACATTAACAAATGGGATTTTAATAACGTATTAACCTACTTTTAAAAAAAAAATCTCACTGCCATCTCTAACTTCAAACTCAACAAGGTAAAGAAAATTGTGGCCAAATATTGTTTGCTGTCACGCCATCATTTATTAAACACACCAAGCAATTCTCATTACTTGTTAATTTAAATTTAAAACATGAATATGTCATAATCCAATTAAATTGATACGACCAAACATGCTCCTCATGTGATTGACGGCTTTCATCGATTAAACAATATATTATTGTATATAACAACATATGTATATGCGAACGTATTAAAGTTATCAAAATAGATGCAAGTAAGGCTCTGATACCAATTGTTATAAAACTATATGCACAGCGGAGATTCATCAGAATCTTTACTACTTATATAAATAATAGATAATCAATACTGTTTATACTAAAATATATATCATGCTAGAACACATAAATATACTGAAATTTTATTCGATAAATACCTCTCGAAGCGTGAACGGATAGTTTCAAGCGAATCTACAAGATAGACGTATTTTCAAGCAAATCTACAAGATAAACAATAATTATGGTCTTCTACAGTGATCCCATGTCACATCCAAACTCTTTCAATATTTGGGTGGACAAGTATCGAATAGAAAACTTATTCCTCTATTTTCTAGGTTAGGAAAATCATATTTATAGAAATTTCTTCCTAATCCAAAATGACTAGAATACCTTGTTTTTCTAGAAGACTAGAAAACCCATATTATTCTTCCTTTTTCCATTGAAAAAGGTTTCTGAGTTCTAGTTAAATATGGGCATCATAGGGACCACAAAATTAATTACAGAAACAACCTATTATGAAAATAATTCTAAATAATTAATTTGAATAATTCTTACCATAGTAAATTACAAATCATTCCACTAGAAATTCATAATTGCACTCCTCTATTTCGTAATTCCCCATTAAACACTTATGTAATTTCCCATGTTATGATTTCAGATACTAATAAATAAATAAATAAATAAATAAATTAATGACGATTTAAACATAATGATTAATTTCCTTTAGAGCACTACTTAACTTATTTCATGTGTCGGACTCATAAATCCACTTGCCAGATTTGACACGATGAAAACTTATAAGTTTCTCAAAAATGCATATCAATCAATCTCTATAACGATACATTGATTCCATCAACTAACTTATCATTTCACCAATATATATTATTATCATCCAACTTACCTGACATGTTGACCCATCTTAGAATCTTACCTTTTAATAAATCAAAACGATAATTAATATATACATATCACAATAGTTATATGAGGATTAAGAATATAAGTACATTTAATAGTTTACATAATATGTTTTTGTCAGTCAGTCTAAAACAACTATTTCTACTCGGTCCTGTTCAATACATACAAAATGTACTAGCACAAGAAGTTGGAACTATACCGTTTGCATATTTTGGATAAATTACATATAATCTTGTGCTACAATCGTACCCGATGACATGTCCAATTTTCATCCTAGATTGTGACCAAAAAACTTTATACTTATCAGAACCGATGATATAATCATCTGTGTATGAGCTAAAACTCTACACACCAAATCATCTACTATATAAGTAAATAGACATCACAAACGAATATATGATCTATTAAAGTTGAGTAAATATTTGTTCTCTAATAAATATTATTTTTTAACATATGGTATACATCCCAAAAATGGAAGTGTGGAGTGATGTTTTGGAGGGATGAGACATGAGATTAGCAAGGTGGAAGAGTCAATATAATATTGTTGGAAGGTATATTTACTCTAATAAAGTGATCTTAAATGCTCTTCCATCCTATATGTTGAGTGTATTCCATATTCCAAAAAGTATTGTGAAAAAGTTCAACCAACTAAGATATTTTTTCATATGGAGTGGAGTTAAGGAGAACTAAGTTTATATGGTAGCTAAGTGGGGCTCTCTAAAAGTGTCAAAATTCAATCCACACTCAAAGCTTGTCATAAACAACAGTGAAGGATATAGTCAGGCACCTTGACAAGTCTATGATATCATATATAAAGTCGCAAATTATACTATGGCAGCATGGACAAGGCCCAATACATATTACGGCAGCATAGATATGCCCCTAACATATTACAACATTTATGTATTCTCGTAGTAACTATATTACCATAGTAAAGAAGGACATCCAATATCACACCAAATATAACTTATAAAAGAATGTTTAGTATTATGTCAAAACATGCTTGTCCCAACACATCGACTAGGTAGATGACAGACATTTTTAAAGTTGGTTTGTAAAGCAAACTCTAAGGCTTAAAGTATTACTTACCTCAAATTCTCGACCCAAGCACCCCCTTTCGACTAATTAAATTATGCTTCCATAACTATCAACGCTACCCTTGTGTTTATGGTTATTAAACTCCTCCACAATATTGATAGGCCTGACATTGCCAAACTTGTGATAAACCTAATTAATCATAAATGGAAACTAAAAAAGGCTCTTTCCTACCTAAGATGTAGTTGAGATAGGGAGATCCCTGATCGCCTTTCTTGTTTATCCTCGTTCTGAAAGGCTTCAATTAAATTACCAGGAAAGCTTATTTAAAGGAACTTGACACAACTATACAAAGATCAAATATAAAATTTGTAAAATGCCATTGGAAAAGTAAGGTGAGTTATATGCCACTTGGCTTAATGTGGAGGTTTTATCCTTTCCTATTAAAAATATTTCTATTAAGTAGAAGAGCCATGATTAGGACGATCAATGACAATATTGTAATTTTAAATATTTTTAAGGGCAAAGCAATAGCTTTATAATTGTATAATTATTGGTCAAAATAATTTTCTAGAAGAATACAATAATCTTTTTCAAGAGTCACAAAAGGTTTTGTTTCATGTGTGACTCCACATAATCATTTCATTTAATTTTTAAAAATTAATTTATATTTGTTTGATTATAATAATGTAAAAAATATTTATACAATTTAAAAAGTTCATATATGTTTATTGCTACTACAATATATTCAGTATAACCTACCATCTTCCATTATGTAATTTCGTTTTAAATTATATACAATATTTTTTAAACATAAGTATTCATATCGTTTTAATAGAATATGGTCAAAAATATCCTTAAACTATCCAAAATAGTTCATATTTATTGTTAAATTATATTTCGGCTCAAAACTTTCCTTCCCGTCAAACTATTGGGTCAAAAGTGCAATTCTTATTAATGAACGTTACTAAATGTCATGTGAATGTCATATTGCACGCCAATAGGGTTCCACCGCCACATAGACTAAAAGGAAAATGGTAAAAGATACGCTTAGACTATCTGAAATAGGTTATATTTACCCTTAAACTATATTTCGGCTCAAAACTACCCTTTCCGTCAAACTATTGGGTCAAGAGGGCCCTTCTTATTAAAGAAAGTTATAAAATGCCATGTGAATTCCACATTGCATGCCAATAGGGTTCCATTGCCACATAAACAAAATCTTTAAATCTTTATTACTCTTTTTCCCCCTCATTCCATTTTTTTCAAGAAATGATTTTACTCCTTCTCCCTCATTTCGCGGCTAAGAGTTTCAAAGTTTTCTTCGTAGCTGGGTTTCAAAGTGGATCTTCGTGGTTGTAGGTTAGTAAATCTTTTTTCTTATTTTATCTCCAAAATAAATATTTATTTAATCTCCAAAATAAATTTTGTTTTATCTTAGAAAATGGTCACTTAATTAAAAAAAACAAAGATAACAATTCTAAGAGATAAAAAATAGAGTTGATAATGTAAGAATAAAGAAAATGACAAAATAATGAGTGCATAGTTGTAGTTTAATAAAACACATAACCAATTAACGGGATAAATTTTAAAATAGTATAAATATATGGAAACAAAGTTAATTTGGCATAGAATTATATATCATATACATTGAAACTTCCACAATAGATAAACTACATATTGACCTTCATATAATAGTCAGTTGCATTTTTAGTCTTGATTTATACTTCTTGCAATCTTAAATTATTATTAATCAGTCTCATTCGTCGAGAGTAAGCGACACATTAAATATTAAATTAGAATGCTTTACAACTTAAAAATAAATGTTTTCTTAATTGATATTAATACTTAAATTTCAAAATTAAAATACTTTATTACCTTATCGAAATAAAATTTTTTGATTATTATTGATAGATTATTGATTAAACAAAAAACTATAAAAATAATTCTGAACTATTTTCATTTTAAATTTTGTTAAAAGGCAAAATAGTTAAAAAAAAACTTAAATTTTATAAATATAAAATTAATCTAAATCTTGTACTCACTCCCTTTAGGTTTATATAATTTTAATTTAACTTAACATGTAGATATTTTTAAAAGAAAAAAGCACTTTTAAAACTTGTGGTCTAAAAACCATAGATGTTCATATGACTATAAATCATCTTACTAAGAATAAAATGAATATTTCAAAGTCAAAATGTTATTTAAATATATTATACATCATTCTTTTGAAACTGACTACAAAGAAAAATATGTCGCAAAAATTATTTTAAAGTAAAATTTTCATAGTGTAAAGAGTTAATTACATCATATCCCTACTTTTTATAAATTACAAAAAAAAATTAGAATTAAATAATTTCATATAAATCAGCACACATTCGGATACATCGATCGTGATACATTGCTATTGAGGAAACTTGCAAATTAAAGAGAGGATAGGAATGTATCCGAGAGGAGATACTGATGTGTGTGAGAGAAGATAGGAATGTATCTTAGAGGAGATTTTTGTAAAAAAAATTTCTAAAATAGTAAAAAATTTTAGAAGCTATAGTAAAATAAGTTATTAATTTAGATAATTTTTTTAACTTAAAATTGAAAAAAAATAATTAATTATATTGGGCCCGTGAACGGGCAGGGATGAATTCGAGAAGGGATAAATATGTATCCAAGAGAAAATATGAATGCATCCGAGAGAGGACTAAAATATCTTAAGTTGTGAATTTATCTAATTTATTCAACAAAATATGTGAAATTATATTGGTACCGTAATACGAGCCTTAAAATATCTAGTATGTAGATATGTAGATTAGCTAGAGAGTAAATTGTCTAAATTACCCTTATTTATTACTCCTCTCTACATAATACTTGTCTCTGTTGCACCATATTAATATCTCTTCACATTTATGACCAAGGGTTTAGTTTTTAAAAAAGGTTTATGACTAAGGACAAATGTGTCGAACAAATAAGTAATTATGTGTTGGTTTTCTAAAATGACAAGTATAAAGCACCATCTATTTTTTGTTGTTCATTTTGTATTCTTAATATACTTATAAAAAAATTTTGAAGAATTTTGTAAGACACAACAAAGTTAAAGAATATTTTCACAACTAGAAAATTAAAACTAGTAGAGAAACTAGAATCACAAACAGATTAGAAAACTATATGAAATATTTTTATTAATAAAGAATTGTTGTCGATATGTGTTTAAGAATTTTACTGATTCCAACAAACTTTGCATAAACATGAAGTTACTAAAGTTTAATGAACCAGTAAAGAATAGAAGAACGGAAGAACAGAAATTAATTCACAAATCTAAAATATTTAACTCATACCAGAATCGTAACAAAAGAAGAAGATCAAGCCCACTGAATGGAAAGTGTCCCCTTAAGGAAATTATTCCCCTTTAGTATCCAAAGTTTAATTTGTAATATGTCCTCCCACAATAGAATGATCTCAATCACTAGTGTATTGATGATATTCAAAACACTAGTGTCAGCGAGCCACTCAACGACAGTAAAGTACACCTGAAATACTAAATTTAGTAGTAGTAGAAGAAGTCCAAAAATTCTTTTTTTTAGATGAGAAGAAATCCCTCAATTTATAAAAAACAAAGAGTAGTGCAAAAAGGTTCTTATTGTGCCTTACCGGAAACATCACAAGCCTTTGAAAAAGTCACAATCTTTCGGAAAGGTCATCACCTTTCAAAAAAGTCACAACTTTTATAAAAGTTGCAACTTTTAATAAAAGTCACAACTTTTTATAAAAGTCGCAACTCTTCATTTCTCATTGACACATTTTAAAACCCAAAAATCCCCCGCATGAATGGGAATGACTCAAAGATAAATAAACGAACAAGTATGTATACTTTACAAGCGAGAACTAATTGTATCTACATAAGTAGGTTTCCCTTTGGACTTTCTATGGTGAACATATATCAGATATACTTGGTTAATCGGTAGATGCAATATCTTTGAACCGTCGAGTTTTGGTGTATCCCTTTGAACTAATTGCATTGTGTTCGTTTCAGCCATAAACACCTCCTGGTTTTATGAGCATATAGAGAATAGGCTTTTGATAATAATTCTCTTTGGAGCGACATACACTTCACACTCACATAGGTGATTTCTAACCTTGTCATCGCGTAGATACACTATTTGGTCAACTCGACCAAGCTTAGAAAATTATTAAAACTATTATGCTTTATTAACTCTTAATAAGCCTTAATGTTGTATCCTTATTCCTGAGCATTGTCTTCATCATGAGAATGAGTTGAGTTGGTTCACAATATCGAACAGTCATTCACAACTTTGTTTTTTCTCCTTGAATCTAGCTTTTGGGATCTCCAGTCTGTTATATAGAGTTACCGCCATGATGATTTGTCATAAGCCACAAACCCATTCCCTTATATGATCTTTGAACTTTCTCTCTAGTTAGGCCTTTTTGTAAGTTGATCCATTTCATGACCCGTAGGTATACCTTAGAATTTAGGGCATCCTCAAGTCGCCACACAGCGATTGGGACCTCGAGAAGTCCCGCACAGTCCACACGTACCAATCATCGCATAATATACTATAAAAAATAATTAAGAAGCTAAAACTTTCTTCACACACGAATGATACTTTAATTAATACACAAGCAGAAGACTTCTTAAAAATAATCTACCATTACAATGTGTCTTTAAACCATCTAATACTTTGAATAACCAACATTGGGAATAATACTTTACAAGACTTAAAATAAGTCTAAAGACGTGAGGAACATGTGGGTATTGTCCTCAAATCGATGAGGACTCACCTTATAAATCTATCAATCCTCTATGGCATATCAAGATGTCTATTTCCTTACAATTTAGTCAAAAAGAGAAAATAAGAGGTTAGCACATTGAATGCACTAAGTATGGAAGTCATGCAAAAACCATGAAAAAGGGGACATTTAGTATATAAACATGCTTTCATGAAATTTTGATAAAACCTTCATAAAAGAGTTTAAGAGACATTTAACAAGTTAATAATCAAATATAGAACATAATCAAGTAACATTCATCACATAAGCATATTCACGTGGACTTTTCTATTAAAGGTTATCCTAAGACCCACGTAAGTAAGATATGAAGTGGTCTCCCATACAACACTTTCACACACACTTAGATAGTCCTTAAGACTACCTAAAGTAAAGTTATTCCAATAAATCAATATCACATAACTTATATTCAATAAGACAAGACTTTACATCATTTAGACTCCCTACCTAAGGCTACTCTAAGACTCACCTAAGTAAAACATAAAGAGACCGCCCATACACCCTCTTCAAGCCTACCTAAGTAATCCTCAAAGCTATACCCTTTCTATAAAACATACTTCACTAATAAGCC